ACTTGTATCGTAGTATGTAATGTTACAGTATGCGTGTTGCGGAATTATTATATAGTGCTAGAGAAGATTGGATTGCAGTTTGTAAATGTATGATAATGCATCCATCTCGACATCATGATATTTGGATCTGGTTAAAACATCTTTCTTCAAATTCATTGCAAGAAGTTGTAATGCAAAATGCAGAAGCTCTAGTGGAAATTAATGCAAATCAATTTGCTATATTGATAGCAACACATTTACAAAATAAAGCTTCTGAAATGTTACAAAAATTAAAAAATCCAAATTTGCAATATGCTTTACTAGAAGCTCTATATCAAATAGTACAATATAAAGAAGAAGATATCACATTAGAGCTTACGACTGAAATGTTAGAAAAGTATTTAGAATTAATGTGCGAATTTCAACCAGATCATGTTAGTAAAATCTTATAATGTATCAAAATGTTAAAATATATTAATTATTAATTTTAATTTATATATAAATTATTCTTTTTAATTTAGGTTGTTGAACATATTCAAGGATTTCATGGTTGTAGACTGAATGAAGCATTACAAATAGTTCAAAAAGCAAATCACAAAGATGCTGAAGCAGTAATGTTAGAAAAATTGGGGAATTATCAGGATGCATTTGATATTCTTTTAAAAGAATTTGAACATAATTTGGAATTGGTATATTTTATGAAAATAATAAAATATTAATTATATTATATCTATTTTAATAAAATTTATTTTTAGTATTGTCAAAACAAAATATCAGAAAATGTACCAATTCATAGCGCAATACAACTTGCTGGAATATGCAGACGATCAGCAGGAAATTTAGATTGGATGCCACTTGTGGAAACTATACTTCAAACACATTCAAATAGTAATGATGAAAAAGGTATACTATATTTTGATATTGATATCCAATGGTAATAATTTCTAATCATTTGTATCATTTTATTATAAAAATATAAATTTATATGATAAATATTAATATGTAAAATATAAAAAATTTATTAAATTATATATAAATATATATATTTTATATATATATATATAATATTATTTATATATATATATAAATAATATTACTATAATATTATTATAGTAATGTGTATACATTACAGTTGAAAAATTAAGTGGAAAGTTATTAAGAATTGCATTAGAGTTTCTTAGTGGTACAACAGCATTATCGACTGTATTAGAACAAATATTAAAACATCCATTGGCAACAAGTGGAACAATAGGTGATATAAGACAATTATTATCTGGAGTACTTACACATTCTCGATATGAACAAACTTTAGTTGAAACTACTGCACGTTTAGTCAGCTTGGAACTTCACAAAGCACTGAAAAAATCACTTAGGTATTAAATAATTGTAAAAATTAATGAAGAATTCTAAAAATAATAATTATTTAATACTAACATTTTTATTTTATAGGGACGCGGGAAAAGCTTGTGCCAGTGTATCAGTAATATGTCCAATATGTAGACATTTGTTATCACAATGTACAGATTATATAATAGTTTTCAGTTGTGGACATGGTTTTCATTCGGAATGTTTGGGAGAACCTAAATCTTGTTATAAATGTTTAAATTCTAAAGGATGGGCACCTATAGTTACTAATATTATACATAGTACTAAATCATTCCATGTAAATAATGTTTTGATTTTGTTTTCATTACATATTGTTTTATCAAAATATATATATAGAAATTAAGTATATTCAAATTGAAATTTTTTGTTTTTTAGGAACACAAACAAATTCTACCACCAGAATTTATGCGGAATAAAGATCTTTCTTTAAGACTTGCACCACCTACTTCTTTACCAGATCTTGAGGGTATCTTTTAATCTAGTCTTTGAATATAAAAATTTGATATTACATTCATTATAATCATACACTAATGTGTAATGATTTAGTTAGTAAAAATTGCTGTGTTATACATGTACATTACATTGGACTTTTTAGTTTTCATTCCATGAATATAATACATTGTTCTCTTATTATATTTCATATGAAAAATTAAATTATAATTATTTTTAAGAGGCTCCTTTTTATAAATATAAAAAATATGCCATCCAGTTTTATTATATCTTTAACTTTTCAAACTTCTGTATATTTAAATAATTTTTCTTAGTAGAATTCAAATGTTTGTATATTGTAAATTAATATAATTATATTATGTATTGTATAGATAAAAATTTGTATACTTTTACTTAATATAAATTTCATTTGTTCAGTGTGCAGTTGCCAAATATCAATCAAATAAATAAAGAAAATAATTAATTAATTTCCTTATTTAAGAATTATGTACATCTAGACATACAATAGTTTATTTTGAATATTTTTAATGTTTTAAATCTAAAACTATATACATATTACAAATGCTTTTTATGTTGGATAATATGGATAAATCGTTTTACGTTTAACATTTTTGATAATAAAGACCGGTTTTTTAGGCATATTTTCGATTAGAACGTAATTAGGATCTATAGATTCATAACCGAGTAATTCACCAGTCAATAATTTCGCAACTAACGAAAAAATACTTAAGTCAGGTAAAAATGATTTTTTTGTAGGTAATAATTCAACATTGGTAACATATTTGTCAATTGCAGATTCCAATTTTATTAAATGTGGAGTAATATTTGATATAGACAAGTATTGCTGTAACTGTAATTTGAAAAATATTACCTTATTATTTTGTTGTCTAACTTATATTAAATATTAATATCTATATTTTTAAGAAAGTAAGCAGGCTTTTTACCTTGCTGTCACACTTTTTTAAAATGTTTATAAGTTCTTCGCTTTCGTTAATTAATTTGTATCCTTTTAATATGTATTCATGATCACAAGCAGATTCACAAATTTGTTTCAATAGAAAAATTTCTTTTTTTATCTTATCCAGAAGTAATGATAATGGTACTCCATGTAATGTTCGACTAGCCATTCGAATCTTAGAATATTTTTCATAAATCTACATAAATATGTATATTTTATGATTTAAAAGTTTTTATAATTTTTTTCAACAAAATTTTGTTATTTTGAAATTAAAATAGATTAAACTAAAGGAAGTGAAGATATATAATCTAGACAATAAAAAAATGTATTTTAAGAATAAAACATGTTACCTGACGATTTACACAAGTCCACGAATTTGAAATTTGATCGGCAAATTGTTTTATTTCATTTTCTGTTGGTTGATATGCTTCAGCTAATTTCCATAAAGAATTAAGTTTATCTGTGAGACTACGTGATATATTATGAAACCACATGAGTTTAATATCCAATTCGTAATTGATTTTTAAATTATAGTGATTTTCTATTCGTAAGATCGCTACCTAAATAAATGTTGACAATGCGTTGTGTTGTGTTGCTCATTTATTTACATCTTTTTAAATTAATTCTTCAAGTAATGCACTTTTCCATTTTTTTAAATTTTTTTTTATTTTTTAATAACTATCAATCATGTTAATTTTTGTTGTTAATTTTTTAACTCTTTCATGCTAAGCAATTGAAAAACATATCTCAGAAATCAATATTTTTATATCAATAATTTAAATAAAATTGATGATAATTAATCAATGCGAATATATTTCGAGCATGAAAGGGTCAAATTGCTTACTCACATTTCTTTCGAGTGTTTTTATAAGTTCGCTATACGAAGACTCCTCCTTTTTCGTCAAAAGCTCCATTTAAAAATGATAAATTTGATGAACGAATATATATATAATTAACTCTTAATAATAAATTATAAGAATATGACATGAAAATAAAAATGGATTACATGCGTTTAGAGATTACATTTTCTTCGCTCGAAAATGCGATAGTCTTTTTGTTTTCTTTATAATATAAATGAATTGGTTTCTATGGATTTATTCTCTATTCACTCTGTTCGTATCGATAGTTCGAATGTTGTACAAACGACAATTTCGGTTTTATTCATAGTATTTAATACATAAATTAAATCTGGCGTTTACTGTCATTTATTAATATACAGAGCGATATCACATATGTTTATATCAGATATACTAATTCCATCAAACTTCGAATTTCATTCTTCATACGACACATGAATTTGTATGATGTCGGAACCATTATTATTATATTTTAGCGGATGCAATAACATCGTGCTTAATTTAAGGCTATATTACGGTAATTACATTATATTCACCGTAATATCAAGCTAATGTGATTATTCAATTGCAACTAATATTAAGATAAAGATATAGTCCAACATTTAAATCATGTATCTTCTGAAAAATATTGGATATCATAAAATCTGCAATAATCACCAGATTTTAATGTATGTTTGTTTCTTTTTTTCTTTTGGCTAGTATTTAATTTGTAGAATAATATAACGAGGTATTATATATAACGAGCAGGCGAAAAAGCCAGCTTTTTTTAATCCTTAGCTTAACAAATTATCTATGGCTTCGCAAGTTTTAATGCTCTATGAAAAGTTCATAATATTAAAATTCTACACTTATTTATGTAATTTACAACTTCTTTTTGTTTTAAACTAATATTTCAATAACTTGATACTATTACTTTATTACCATTAAACACTCTTCATTCGATTATTCACAACTTTCACAAACGCTCTGGAATTATTTGTATTTATATATATATGTATATAATATGTTAAAAAAAGAGAATTGAAGTTATGTGTATTCACAAATATGCACATTCACCATATTTGAAAAGAAATCGTTTGCTTACTGTTTAATCATTGGAATTATTATGAATATATTTTTTTCCAGTAAGCAACGATTATGATCGAGCAAGATTGATTGCTTAATCTTAAATCTTTCTGTTACAGCTCAAAGAGGGAGGAGTATCTTTTTTAATTAAAATAAGGACGGATTATTATATTATAAATGAAATTTGTTCTTTAACATAAAATTTTCAAAATATATCTTCCATTTAATTTTGGTATCATAATTTTAAAACTAATTTATTTTTATGCATAATTTTATTTTTTGATAATTAATATTTCTTTTGTTTGAAAATGTATGGACACTTATTGAGTACATGTGACATCGCGTTTACAATTTTAATTCAACAATAGTATCAATGTAATACAAATAACATAAAATTAGTATAAAATAATTATTGAAGATTTTTGTATTACTATATGAACATTAAATTGTCCTACAATTACGTAATACAAATTATGGATAATAAGAACATAATTTTACGATCATAACTAAAACATACAAAATTTACCTAAAAAGTTATCAAACTCTTAACAATATACTAATCAAAACTTTTAAACATTGCATCCATACATACGTTTTCTTAATACACATTCTAAACACATTTCTAAATTAACATCGCACATATAGTACAAGTCTGTAACAAATTTTGCTTTGTTCATACTGAACACAAGATTGGCAGAGCTGTTGATACTCATCCCTCATGTATTGTAGTACAATGTCTATAGACATATGTAAGCTACAAGCAATGATAGAGCACATGAAAACTCTGTCAGGAACATGCAAGATTGTTATGATGCAGTTTAGCGATTCATTACGCAAAATGTTGAATAGTTACTTTCAACATTAATTACCTAAATCAGCACTGCCACATCTGTATTTTAACTTTAATGTATTGAAAAATTATAATTTGCTTTAGCAATTGAAACTAACGAAGTCTTTCGACATCAGATTGCTTTTGAAATTTTTTTCAACAACTTATCTTTTTTATTTTACCCTCGCTGCCAATGTGCACGAGAATGATTATGATATCTGTAATATGAAGGCCTATAATTTCTACCATGTCGCGGTCGTGCATTGTTGGAAGTATTATAATAATGTCTCCGATAATAACCACCGAGAGATCGATTCCACGTTTTGCCATTTTGATATTCTTGGAAAGGATTATATCCTGCATTACTTCTTTCTTCATATGTTCGATGATCTTTTACTTTCTTTACTCGACCACGATCTATTTCTTCATCATCTGCATTGAAATGTCGTTTACGTTCTTCTCTTCTATCATTATCAACTTCTCTATCTAAGTGTGTTCTGTTGCCGTTCCAATTTATAACTGTAAACAAACAAGTTTAAGTTCGTTTTATAAAAAAATAATCTTATTATGCAGATAATCTTAAAATAAAAATATTTATACACAGTTTTTAATATACTTTGTCTTTTAATAGTGTTATTTAACACTTCACATAATTTTTTTCAATAAATCACAAAATATATTTTTTTTATTACTACTGACGTAACAGAGGTGTAACAAAGCAAATATTTTCAATTTAATAATTAACAATAGCTCAAAACTTTACGTTTTGTAATATCTACAATTTATCATTGAGAAACTTATAAACTTAAAATATTAAAAGTATTGAAATATTAATTTTTTGTTAAGATCATAGATAGACAGAATTTTTAATTTTAGAACATTTTAGCAAACAAGAATTTTCGTTTCTTGTACATTTTGTTCTATTGTTTTATGTAGAATTTTTGGATTTAAGACGCATGGACGCACAATGGGTTGATGGGGACTTTGTGGAAAAAGGAGCTGGATTCAATGGATTCTTGAATAAAATTCTTTTGTTGTACTGACCCGAAGAACTGCCATAACCACGATGAGACATCTTTAATAAATGAGAAACAGTATCGGAACGATTTGTCCCATTAAAGTTTCTTAAAGCTGCAGCACTGGGCGTGTTATTATTCTGATTAATTTTATGAACATCTTCTCTATGAAAAATAAAAAAGATGATGCTAATTCATTATGATTACAATATTTGTTTAATAATATTATATCAAAAACAAAACATTACTTACTTATCAGTCACAGACCATCCATTTGGTGCTGCAGTTGACGTAGGTGAGAATGATGTATCTTTTGAAACTTGCCAACCTTTTATACTGCTGCTTGTAGCCTTTGTAATCACTTTGTCGTCTTGTCCTGTTTTTACTCTAACTGATTGATGCCACTTACTTTTGCTATTATTACTACCACTTTCTGTTTTACCATTTGCTTCTGATTTACCATTTTGATATTTTATTGTACTTGTAATGGTACTACAGCTAGAACCATTTTGTGTTTTTGTACATTGTGTTATATTTGTTTGGTTCTGAGCATTACTGCCGTTTGTCTTAGATGTACATTTTTGTACTTCTTTTGAATTAAGAACTATTTTAGCAGTAGGTGAACTACTTTTTACTAAAGAACATTTTTGTGTACCATTAGTGGTACTAAGAGAAATGTTTTTTTTTACTGAAGTATTTGAATTTGTATGGTTTTTTAACGTTCCAATAGAATTAATATCTTCTTCTTCGCTAGATCCATCATAAGGTACTAAACTATTCCCATTTAAAATCTTTCCATTTTTAATCAGCATAATCAATCTTGGTTGAGATTTATCTTGTAATTTTTGTGGTAATTGCGGCCCGATAAAATTTGTATTTTTTTGAGTAGTAAATTGAAGTCCTGAATTATTATTTATTGATATCTGCATACTTGATTCCAAATTTTCTGTAGTATCTTTATTAGCTGATGTACCATTAATTAATCCATTTAATGAGAGTAACCCAGATGTTGATGCTTTGGGAGCTATAGTTTTATTCATAGAAGTTCCTGATGAAGATAATGTGTTATTCACAGTCATTGTACCATTTAATTTAAGAGTCTGTTGTGCTTGAATTTGAGATTGTGTTTGTTGTTCCATTTCAAAGATCATTATATAAGCATTTGTACTGAGTACATTACTCAAACTAAGTGGACGAACCTATAAAAAATATTTTTAGTAATAAGATATTCTCGCATTTTGCAAATATTATTATTATTATTAATGTTGTTAATACATACACAAGAATCATCAAAGGAATAATATTGGCCTGTCGAAACTTTAGCAACTGCAGTATAATGTCCACAATTAACTGATGGACCCATATGTGTAACTATTGACATAAGTTTGTATGTAAGTGATTGTGATGATTCTCCTGGTTCTTTCCAAAGATAAGGACCCATATCTATAGTTTGCTTGAAACCTATATGTTTAGATATTTTTCCTCCTAGAACACTGAATCTTTTTAATTGTACGCAAAGTACTTTAGGAGGTCTTTCTAAGCTAAATTGTTTTGTAGCAGGAACTCTTCTTTTGCAAGCTTCACATTTATAATCATTGTTATCTAGTTGTTCACGACTAAAATAACTACTTAATGCTTCATCCAGAGTACTTGCTTTACGTATATCAACCAATAAATCCTATGAAAATTTTAAAAATTATATTATTTATTTTATTGTATTTTATTGTATTATTTATATTATTGTAATTAAAGATGTTGCTATTAAAAAATTGTATGTTATATACTTGAAAATGTTGAAAAGTTGTAGAAACATGCCGACATTGTAAACATTTCACTTCAGTACGAATATAACCACCAAAAATTTGATTAATAGGTGTTGTTTCTTTAGAATAACTGTCTAGTTTACTAGCTTTGTGTCTTGCTAAATAAGCTTTCTCCATGCCTTCTAATAAGTAACGTAAAAACTCATGAGCATCTTCTTGTTGTCCTGGTACCATGGTTCGACAAATAACTGATGAAAAAATCAAAATCAATACATATTTGATTACATATTTGTTAAATATTTAACAACTTTAATTAGATTAGATATCAATTTTAATTTAAGATTTAACAATTTATTAATATTTTATAAATATTTTATATACTTACGTTTTAATTTATTATATATGTAGAATGGCTTAATGGCACATCCTGATTTCTGATGACTAAATTGTAAAGTCTTAGCCACTGCACATGTAAGGCATTCTCCACCTCCATCTAAAACTAACCTATTATCAAAATACGATACAAAACTGTGGAATTATAATCTTATTTTTTAAATTTGAAAAATGTGAAAAAATAAGTTATATATTATTATAACTCACCATTTTGTTCACATTTTGATGTATGATGAGAGTCTGATAATAACCAATTAACAAGAGCTGGTACATGAAACAAAGCTTGGAGAGTGCTATTTAAATAGCATGTATTTCCAACATTATACATGCCAGCTCCAACTGGAAACGTACCCTTCCATCCTAAGCTAACTTTCTTTGGAGAATATAAGGTAATAGTTGGTTCTGGCAAACTGGGTCCTTTACATCCTCTTTCATTCTTTTTTGTATAGTTTACTCCATCTTTTATTTTTTCATCTAAACTTTCAGAATTTGGTAAACTTAATACAATGTATTTGGCTTTAAGTTGATCTAAAATTGTAGTTTGATAATCATCCACTTCTTTATATTGAATTTCTGACTGAAGAATTCTTGATGCACTGGTAACTAAATTTGTTGATAACTCATCTGATGTTTTGGACTGGTTAGTGTCTAAAGTACGACGAAGTGTAGCCGCAACTGGGTCACAAATGCTTACAGCAGGCATTTTTATTTTATTTTACTTTTTAATAAAGAAGTTTTATTATGTAATTCTCCTGTACAAAAATATAAAAAAATATTAAACATAATATAATTATTTAATATTATTTTATGTAATATTCATATAATATTTGAAAGCATATAATTGTAATATAAATATAAAACATTATTTTATATCGTATAAATATTTTATCATTAATAAATAAACTAAAATTTCATTTTTTAATACTATTTACAATAATATTATATTATTAAAAATAAATAAAAAATTTACAAAATTTTGTCGTTGAAAATATAATAAATTATTTTTTTTATAATAAATAACATGATTATTACATAAACATAAACAAAATTTGCGATAAAATAACGCATTTTTCTTTTTCTTCAGTTAAGATGTATACCTACTATGAATGCATAACTTCATACATACTGAAGCAAAAGGGTTAATTTTACTAATAATTTATGATAATATTATTAATAGCAAGTTGAAATAATAATATACGAATTATTCAATATGAAGTAAGAATAGATAAAATTATGTGAGACTTTTTTTGTAATTGCACGACACGTCTCGAACTTTTAACGAAGTACACTAAAAGCACGCGGCGTGCAATAGATACCGCGCCAACAGATTCATTGTTTACCTCCTTCCGATGATTATGTACGTTATAGCTTATACAAATATTTTTTCCCAATAATATCGTAACACATTTCACATTATAAACGATATTTTCCAATCACGACCACGTACAAACACAATGCTATCGATTAATTCGAAATTCCACGCGCTTACGTGCCTCGAAACGGTTACCGGATGAGTTTAACTGAGGGCGCGTGTCTCCGGCCACGAGTCATTTTTTTCCCGCGTACTTTGTTACACTTACCCCACTTAAGTTTAATTCACGTACAATAGTGACAATAATTTCAATAAGAAACACCATTAAAATTAGCACGTGTCAATATTACACGACATTTTTAGAACTATTAGTTTTGGGCATGCGAAATCAAGGCCCATCCTCTATCGTCATGTCAGCCATTTGCAATTACATCGGTAGCCATTAAACTTTTTCCGTTGGATTCTATAATCCTATCGAAAGCGCTTAAAATACAAGGTCTTGTTTTCATGTATTGAAATTATATTCATATAATTGTTACATTAAGATTTTTATTATTTATATTAATTTATATTTATAAATTGTATATAAATTTTATATTTAGAGTTTTTATTTTATAATTTTATAAAAATTTAAATAATAAATAATAAAGTTAAAATATAAATAATAAACTTAAATATTTAAAAATTTGTTAATATTTTTATTATGAATAAAAAATATAAATAAGATTAATTTTATTTGAGATAAAACAAAATATTTCTAAGGTTTTATATTTCATTTATTTCCGATTTATAATTAATATAATATAAATTTATAATATTATAAATAAATATAATAAAAATTGAGAATTATTAAAAATATTTGTTTTTTAATATTAAAATATGAAATAAAAATTAATTTATTATAATATATAATATTATTATTATATACATATATATGAAACAGAATATTTTAAATTAAAAACTTAGTTTATAGTCATGAAAACAAAATTTATTTGAAAAAATAAAATATTAATTTCTATGTTATGTTTTATAAATGTGTAAATAATATGTTATTTATATTATAAAAAATAAAATAATAAATGACAAAAATATTACTATTTATTGAAATTTTTATTATTATGGTAATTAGGTTTAATGAATTATCAATTTCACTTATAATAAAATTTATTTTTAACGTATTTTTACATTTAATTAAGAAATGTAATATATAATAAATTCTTTTGTTTCGAATAGATAATATTTCATTATATTAAGTAATGATTACTAATTTTTTAAATTTTAAATTATATTTGTATCGTATTTTATGTTATTTAATACTTGTATTTTATATTATTAGTATTATTTAATACTTTTTCATTTTTTGACAATTAGAACCATATTTTCTGTCATAATAGTATCTTTATTAATTGCTATTGAGAATCTTTGCTTACAAAATATACAGATTAACATAACTTTTAAGCGACAAGATAATAATGTTTCAGATAAAATATTTTTAATATATAATAGCCATTAGTAGCAGTTTTGATACGTTTACGATGGCGAAAGGAAACATCGATATTTGGTTATTTTTACTTTCTTTTTTTACTTTTATTTTTTTTTATTAATTATATGCTAAAATAACTTGTGCACAAAATTTTACATAAAATATAAAATAAAAATTTAAGCATGCATACACTAAACAAATTACATTTGTAATCAATGTTTGTATTTTTTTTTTTTTTTAGGAAGCCTATATTATTTTTCAAATACTCTCTGGCAGTGATAAAACAGACTAAACTTTTTGTTACAAAAGTTTGCTTTATCCCAGTTGGTTCTTGAGAGCTATCTTTATTAATCATAAACCTTCGACTATATTATTAAATTATTAGAAAAGAAACTCATTAATAAAAAACTGAAATATACGTACATACATATAAATTTGGAATCATTTTTATCTTTGAAATTTATCATGAAATAATATTTAACTATTAATAATTGAATTATGGAAACAATATTGAGTAGATTTATAATGGATATAACGATGAAAAATTACGCCATCGTGAACGTTTTATTATTATTCCATAAATTATCTCTAGTTTTAACCTTATCGATAAAACTTTACTCGATTACGTGTATTAATCGACAATACGAATTCATGCCATTACAAAATTTTTTTGCATTAAGCCGTTTTTCTTAAAATTTCTGAATGATATATAGCGCCTTGTTAATTCGTATCTAATAATCTTGAATTTCGTGACTAAATTCAGCCACAGATTATATGCATGCATAGATAAATAACTCTAATTGTAAAAGAGGATTATAATTAATGAAATTAATATTTTCATTCAATTCAATATAATTTTGACTTTAACTTAAATAAAAAAAATTAAAAATATAGAAGTTAATTATTTATGCATAAAATATTTTAATAAATTTTTTTTTTAAGTTTTTTTGATAGCAATTGCTATTATTAGACACGGATTAAAAACTATTCACTAATTTTAATTAAAATTCATCTTAATAAATTTCAGTATTCAAATTTATAATTAAACTATTATTTTATAATAAAAATAATAAAATTATTTTCTATGGTCATCGAATGTTTACGATGACTAACAAAATTTATTGCACATTAATTAATTCATTCTATCCCTGTTTTTTTATCACTTTTGCATCTTCTCCCATTATGTATCTTAATATTTACAATAAAAATATTCGGCGTGTACCATGGTATTCTATGGAATAAGCCGAAGATGTTTACGCGCAATATGCTTTCGACTCCTTTTTTTTAGCTTTCGTAAAAGACAAAAAAGAAAAGTTTTAATATTAAAAAGTGATGTGTGATGATATCGGCATTTGACGGCAGAAATGATCTCATAGAGCACCATTATAAAAATTCTTACAGCTAAGTGTGTGCGTTGAATGACTTAATATTAAATTGGATATCAATATGCAACAAGAAATTTGTTTTCTTTCATCATTAGAATTATTCTTAATGAATAAAAATACATATACACGATTGTTAATTTCAACGAATTTATAATAAATTGAAATAAAAAATTATAAGAATATGAAATATATCAATTATAAAACAAATTTTTATTTTATATATATGAATTATAAGAAAATTTAGATTTTTTTTCTTCAAGGTAAAATTATTTTTAACTATCCAAGAATAATGTTTTCCTTGTTGCACCTTACCCAAATTCGCTTTATATTCAAGTACTACCATGGAAGTAATATTTTGGGGAGAAAAATATAATGTCTTAAGATATTCATGACATTGATTTAGCGTCAGATGTGAAACTATAAGTTTACAATTTGAAATAATAAAAATATATGTATATATATATATATATATATATATATATATATGTAATTATATATATATATATATAATTTCTACAATGACGATATTTAATAATCTTCCATCATAATAAACAAATATTCAATATATCAAGAACATAGGATGAATCCAACGCAATCACCACAGTTTCTCCCGAAAATATTTCCATCGCATTTTCCTTATTTTATTACAAATTATCTCATGTTCGAAAATAATTGCTCGTCTAGAAACTTATTCATATTATTTATTCCTCGTCGAAACTATTCGTTCTCGCTAACTTTCCTAACATATACATATTTAGGTATACATATAATATATAAAGGAAACGGATATCTTACAAATTAAGGCAAACGTTATTTCACTATAGAAGAAAATCTCAGCGAAATGGAATATCGTATCGACAATAAACAAATATTCGGTAGCAGCATAAAATCTCTAGCGTCGTTTTAATCGCTCTTTCCCTTCTTTTTCTTTTTTTTTCTTTTTTTTCTTTTTATTCCTCTCAGCTATATATATTAATGGCAATGAAAAAATAGTTATCTACGTATCGCTTGCTCGATATGTTTCTTTTAAAATTCATCGCTCGTTGCAAAAAAAAAAAAAAAAAATAGGGAAAAAAAAACAAAAAAAAATTACTTATTAACTTTGTTGATCCTTAATTAATGAAATGAAAAATATTTTTTTTTATCGGATAATCTAATATATCCATTTTATATAACAAATCAATTGTTTTTGCATGCGTATCAATTAATTTGTTGCAAAACAGTGAAAATTGAACAAAATTATGCATTTATTGTTACATGTTCGTGTAGAATGTTATGAGAGAATGTTTCGAGTTCATTAATCGAGGATTAAAAAAAAAAAAAAAAAGAAAAGGATTCGATTGAAAATCACATTGATTGGCTGTAAAAGGAAATAAACGTTGCATTGCGTGAATTGTTGCTCGACAATTATTCGAAACGAACGCTACATTGTCTATCCACATTCTATGTTTCCTTAATTTATATTAACTTACATTAGTTATATAATGTTATCATTTAATCTTATCATTACAGTTACAGATTATTATTAATAATCACTGATAATGAAATTGATCGCAATTATTCAGTGATTTTTACGTTAAAAAACGTGATTATTTAACTAAGCTGCGTTCACTCGTATCCTCGAAATGATGATATCTTAATATTACATTTACAAGCGCGAATTAGTCACCTTTTCTTTTGCCCCATTGGAAAGAACACCATACGCATCATTATCATTTAGCCATCAATGAGAAAATTGGTAAAAATTTCGACAACGATATAGATATTTCATATATGATGATTATGTTGCTGAATTCGTTCAACACGTCCAGACGATAGTTATCAATTGACGCTCAAATAGATTACATATTAAACAATTTTTAAAGGAGGTATTATGTAATACATGAGGAGGTATTATGGATACATGTAAAAAGATGATTTGATTGATTTTTTTTTTTTGATGTTGCAGTAATTGGTATATACACGTTTTTATGATATTTTGATGAGCAGATATAAGCCAAATTTTAATTAATTAAAATTTAATTAATTTCTTAAAATATTTATAATCTTTTAAGAAATATTCACACATACATATTCATTTCTGTTGTAATAATATTTTCCAATATTATCCGTTTTAATATTATTTTAATATTTATAAATGTATTTCAGATCAGTACAACAGTGTTTATATATAATTATTTTCAAATAGATTAGATATAATTTTTTTAATTATCATACAATATTTTAATCATTTAATAAAAAAACAATCATCAACAATAGTCTGGGCGTATAAAATGAATCGAATCCAGATTCTTATGATAATTATCATTTATATCATGAAATAGAAAACGTGAAATATGATTCTAACAGCCTTTCTGAGATCGACACGATCATTTCTCGAGCAATTATCCCTAAATTTGACAATATCCAACAATCAAGAATCTCGTTCACTACTTTCCTTCTTTTTAACACACACGAACGAGAGCAGCCTTAACGCCTACGGATTAAGCCTAAACATCGATTTATGTTTCGTAATATGAAGCACATCATTTATTAAATATTCCTGTATGTTTCAAACATTCACGATCTCCATTCTTCGGCCGTGACACGTCCACCATAATAATTCGACTCACACGTGATAATAATTTATGTCTTCAAACAATTCAAACGAAAACCACGAGTTTCTTTCTTTATTCATTTCCCTTCTATTGCAATAGAACGTTATATCATTGTTCCACGATTTCGTTCACATTGCCATTCATGGACGGTGAACCGTATTCTATCTTCATCCCTCGTTGTTACAACATAAGTATCGTTACACGATGAAGAATTTTTGAAAACACTGGTGAATCTCTTTTTTTGATGAATCACGAAGAGAATTGTGTTAACAATGCCAAGAGATGAGTTGAGATTTGACATTTTAGAAATTCAAATTCGAAATTTGACAAGGAACTCTCAAAGATCTCAGAAACCTAAAATGCTTATTTTATTCCTTTTATTCTTTTCTTTTTCTTTTTAAAGAAGAATTCTTTTATCAACTTTTGTTTATTTAAAACCTTACATAACAAATTTTGATTTGAGAAATTTTTTAAATTGTAGTAAGGCATTGTTGTAATAATAAACATCTTTTAATATCTTACCTTGATGAAAGTGAAATTAAGTATTAATCAAGATAATATTATATAGGTTTCGAAGTTTCGAGTTTCCCATCCTCAATGGAAACGAGGATATGTCGTAAGAATCAACGAATCTTGGTGTTCCAATGAAGCACATGAAGTCCTGTACTCGATCCAAGCGCATATCGTAATCGTCATTTATCTGTACACAAACAGTCCGTGAAATTAATTACTAATTTAAAAGACACATGTATACGTATATGTCTATATTATTTATGTATATATCGCAAACCTTTCTTCTCGCTTTGTTTCTTAAATTCTCTCCTCAAATAATTTCGTCGATCATAAAAATATTTTATGAAATATATCGTCACTCGTAAAATTCACTAGCTTAATTAGAACGTACATAAAGTTATCTCGATTGAGATCGACTTGATGCGATCGTTTTTTTTATATTTTATCTTTTTTTTATTATCCAAATATTATATTTACCAGAATAAGTCTATATATATGTATATAGACTTCCTTCTGTTCACCTATTTCTCATCCTTTTTTTTTTTATTCTTTTCCTCTTTTTGAAAACTTGTCTCATCTCGAACACAGACAGAGTATTGACAAGACATTGTCGTGATAATTTAGCAGGAACTCGATATTTGAAAGTAACTGTGCTCTTCTATGCTATGATTATGTGATTTATAGATGGATGTGAAAGAAATTATTCAAGGTAATGCTAAATTATCATTGTTATCTTAAACATGGTTCAATGATGTAAATTGTAACTTTATGAGTTCTTTCTCGTTTCAGAGAATCAAAATGTCAATTGGATATGATTATTCTGTTCTGTTAAGAAGCCTCCTCTTCGAGCATCGACTCTCGTCACACTGTTCCACTTTTCAAAATATCCTCTCCTCCTCCCTCTCTCATTTTTCCTCGAACATTTGTTTTTACAGCTACTACTTAATATTTCGAAGATATGTGCAAATACATCATGCGGTGATAGATATACGTTAGTGTGAGAATTTATTCGTTTAAATGTTATTACTGGCAAGTGAATCGGGTGCATCGAGACCCGACTAAAAATATTCTGCGAATGTCTGCAGGGTGTTTGTTGATTATAACAAGGCCGCTCCAAGCTACTTACATACACACGTGATTCACTTGATCGTTTCCAAATCGCAAATTTTAAGCATCACTTCTATCGTTGTTCTTCCCTTTCCTCCATTCTTCTTTTATCCTCTTTCGTTTTATGTATAATATATGTATATACATATTTTTCCATGAAATGAGATTGTTGTAATGAAGTAATCAATTAATCTAAATTTTCATAGAAAAAACTTGCGATTAATTATATAATTTCTTCTCACATCAGCGGCACATCATCAATTTATCATATTACTTTTTTTGTTTTTTTTTTTCTTTTTAATATAACGTTTAAACGATTAATTAACGTGCTTCAGAGTCAGACTTGTATCTTGGCGATTTGAACACAATGAAGTCTCGAAGAACGAAATTGCTTTTTTGGTCTCTTTGGTGGTAAACGATGCTTCTCCCGAATCGAAAAATTTTCAGCGTTCGTTAGCCGTGAAGCAGCCTTCGAAATTGTCTCTCTCACGGACAATTTCGTGATTCTTCTTCTTCTTCTTCTTCTTCTTCTTCTATTTCTTCCCATTGTCGAAGATTCTTCGAAGAATTGTGAATATACGAACTCCTCGATAATGATTTGAAGTTTCATCGTTGGTACAGTCTTGAACGAGAGAGTGCAACGAAAGGCAGATACCTTAAGATTTCGTGCGTACGAGATTTTTTTCACGTGTCGAAAACGCTACTCTTATTTTTACCTCTTAATGCAGCGTTTTTTTCAATCTTTTCCCGAGTTGCGATCCCATTTCGTGATACATTCAAATAATAACTGGCTCTTTTCGGACATGATGAAAAGAAAAATAGAAATAAATAAGGATAAAAATGGAAAAGTAGAAAGAAAAATAAAAATAAAAAATACTTTCCTTCACAGAAAGAGTGAAATCGTCTTTATACGTAAAATATAGCAATACGACCTAAAAGAATAAAAAGATAAAAATAACAAATATCTTCGATGAAGGATATTTTGCAATACTCTCTTCTCCATAAAGTAAACTCGAGAGCATTATCGTATCTCTAAAATATGGTAATAGTTAAAATTATTTACATTAAAATATAACAAGTGAAAGAAAAGTCATTGAAAAAAAAAAATCTAACCTCTCTTGATCGCGACTTACAGGTTGGTTTAAATGCAAAGTTGAAACGTAATCCGCATGCATCGTGTCCAATCATCCAACGATTTTCGTGCCAACGAACGACCACGAGATTGACTTTGTATACTTAACATATACTATATTATATTATCCTCGATAAAACATTCGCAAAGGATCGTTCGCGAGCAAGGAAGCAAGCGTGCCATATTTGAAACAAATAAAGAAACATCCGCACGTGCTCGAGAAGAAAAGATCCTAAGTGGTGAGAATCGAGAGATTTTTAAAAAATCGACGATCGAAAGGAAGGCAGCCGCATAATTAGGTCCCTTTTGCTTCATTTTTTTTTTTTTTTTTTTCTTCATCGTCTTATTGATTTCTCCACACGGATCAAGACTTGAACTTGATCAACAATTGGCATCTTCCTGTCGTCGAGTTTTCTTCGATCCCATTTCCAAGATCCATCCATCTTTTGTGCAATATATTCGAAAAAATTGGACCCCGAGTCCGCGAAGCAACGACAATCCGGAAAGAACTTGGCGTTTTTTTTTTTCTTTTTTTTTTTTTAGGCGATTTCCTATCGCGAGTGCTTATCAATTAAAAGAACAAAACTCATACATCTCGTTCTTGCGCCCGTGAAATTTCCAAAATTTCAAGGATATTTTTTTCTTTCTTTTTTTTTTTTTCTTCTTTCCTCCTCAACTTTCACCTCCAAGGTACCAAGGTGAAGGCAAGCGTAGACACATGTTCGTAGAAGTAAACTGGTGTTGCACCCGTTCGGCGTGCAATTCGAGAATTGAATTTTCTGTCTAAAAAGTCGAACGAACTGACATTGTACGCCAGTCTGTCTGTTTTTTCTTCTATTTATTTTCCATTTTCTATTTTTTTTCTTTTTTCTTTTTTTTTTCCCCTTTTCTTTTCTTTTCTTGCTTAAACCAGACTGTGTTCACGAGAGTCGTAACGATGAGTGTAGAGAATGGATGAGCTAGTTCCTGGCGACGTCGATGACGATGGCGTGTTCGAGCACGATGGCGAGGATGGATGGGCCTTCTTCGAGGCCGGCAATACCTAGGTATTCTGGCCCTGTTTGCGGATTTTGTTCTCGAGAGCGGAGGTCGGCCGGCCTACGAGGTCCTCCAACTCGTCCGGCGTCAGGACCGTGAAATCTCTGTTTGTGAAAAAAAAAGAATTTTCTTAAAAGAATTATTTTCTACATTTTTTTTTTTGTTTCTTTTACGATCGTAACGGTTAAAATTATCTATATATAGAAGAAAAGTTTTACTATTCTTTACTATATATTATATATTCTTTACTATATTTACTATATATTGTTCGAACTATACTATATTGTATGTTTGAATTTAAATTATGGATTAATTATCTACGATTAATTAATTCGTTGATTATTAAATAATGAGTGGAATATCGATTTTTACCTATGGAACGATTATTTAACGAGATGGCAGCTCGCTTAAAAAAAAAAGAAATCAAAATTCCATAAATAAGGCTAATATGTCGGCCATCTTATTCGTGTGGTCGTTGTGTTACAAATAGCTTTACGAACAACGCACAAGACATTAATTTCCTACGTAAAATTGGATACTGTATATATATATGTATATATACTATACGTCGTTTTGTATGTTCTTATAGCAAGATAAAGAAATTAATCAGAAAATTGATACTAGCGTTTAATATATCTGTTTTGCATATAAATGATTATGATTAAGATTATGAGAATAAATAGATATATGTATCTCAATAAAAAATGTAATATTAATTAACAAAAATATTTTTATTCTCGATAAATAATGGTCAAAATAATCAATCAAAAAACATATGTATATTTGTAATTCAATCAAATCTTAATGGATCGAACGTGCAAAGCATCGAATCGTTACGCGATTTCGAAATCTGAAGAGGAAATAAACGAGAGAAACACGCGTTGTTCGATGGTTTTCAATTTTACGAAGCAATAAACAGTTGGCGTCTGCCCTCTCACCTGTGTTGAGCCAACAGCATGTCTATACTGGTGACGCTTCTTTGATGCGTCCCATCCTTCTGCGCAGCCTTCTGTCTCTTGATACACAGCGCTCTGAGAGGCGCGAGGAAAACACCGACCATGAGTAAACTGCATCCAACGACGATAAGGGCGGTCGAGTTTTGTGCAGCTTCTGCCCCGGGCGCGAGTTGCACCAAGCCTACAACCAACACCACAGCGCCCAGCAGCAATGATCCGACCACCACGTGTAACGAATTGACCTTTGAAGAAAACGCGGAAAAAAACCTTGATCAATATAGTATTCTCGATTTTATCTTATCTTTTGTCTTTAAAACGTTTATTGCTGCCATTTTAAGAATACAATTAATAAAAATGTAGAAAGTCTTGGTCAATAGTGTAAGCTTTATTCTTTAACCTGTTTATTGGTTGACATTTTAAAAGTAGAATAATTAAATGAAATAAAATGTTTGGAAGAAATAAAGAAATACAGATGTCTGATTTCTTTCACTTTTTTGTTTCTTGTGTTAATTTAATACAATTAATGCAATTTATGGAATTAAAGAAATATTAATTAAGGAAATTAAGAAATATGTAACAAAAAAAATATTTGTCTTGATCAATAGCGTAGTCAGTTTTACTTTTTAATCCGTTTATCAATGTCATTGATAGAATAATGAAACGTAGTTAAAACTTAATTTTGTTAAATTATGTTTTAATTATTATTAAATTAAGGAAAAAGTCTTGATCAAAAGTATAATCATTTTAAGACTAGCATAATTAATGAAAAACAAATAGTTTGCAGAAATACGATGATGTTTGATTTCTTTCACTTTTTCGTTTCTTGTATTAATTTATTAAATTAAGAGATATATCTATAAATAGAATTTCGACTTTTTGGAAGTTTCTCCTTTGCGAGAAGTTCTCCTTTATGCGCGGAGTCAAAAGCAAACATTGTTTCTACTACTACGTTGTTGCACATTGAACACTAGCTTAATTAAATGCGATTCTTGAAATATTCTTGCAACTTGTGAAGTTGCTTTGCAGAAGAGCTTTGTAACGAGATGTTTGTTTTTATGAAAAGAGTTGCTGCTAATTAAATTACAACGAAATAACGTTATCTCGTATCGATTTTTAATTGTATGAAAATCATAATGAATAAAAGGGCATGGAACATTAAGGGTGAATGCATCTAAGAGACAATAATGGCGAGCCATGAAGAGACAAAAACTCCTTTGAGCCCTTTGTTATATAGCCACTTTAACCTTTTAATCTTGATTACATAATAAAGACGATGCGCATGAAAAATATTTACCGTACTTTTCTTTAATATACTATCAATCACTTATTTCTCTTCTTTAAAAAGATATCAATATCCATTATTTTTCATTAAAAATTTTATTTCGCCTTTGAAGAAAATTTTAACAAGCAATAATTTCCAATCGGGTAAAGTGAGGTAAGTTTCTTAAAAAAAAAAAAAAAAAAAAAATTTCCATAAAAGCTTTTGATAGATTGTTCAAACTTCTTTCCTATTCGTTTTCAAGGATTCCCTGGGATTGCTTTTGAATTTTCAAGGCGAGTGAATTTTCAAGGAAAAGGATACGTCGAAAATTCCTATCTGTTTTTCCCTACCTTTCGATGTATCACGTGTATACATCGTAGTAGTTTGAATAATATCGGTTAGTTTCAAGGCTGAACCTTGAAGATTTTAATTAATTCCTCGATTCGCACCATTTTCAGTTAACTGGCAGAAATTTAAATTTAGCTTCCTGCTTCCACACGATTATCGTTATCGCGTGAAACACTGGAAACTTCTATTTGACGTTTCTATTTATTCGGCAAATAAAACTCGTATACACCCTCTTCAATTCTGTGTGCGTACTATTATGAATCTTCCTTTAGATATCGATTCTTTTCCCCTTCACTTTTTCAACGTTTGATCCGCGTTGATTTTTAATCTTTAAATTAATTTTTGTAAAACAATCTCTTGAAAAAAAATACTCGAGCTTTATAATCGGTCGATTAAATCATTTATTTTTCTCTCAGTATTAGAAATCATCTTTTTTTCCAAACTCAATTGAGGTTAATCATTGTCATTAAAAAAAATATTATACACAATAAAATATCATTTAGGATCTAAAATTTCGTTCATTGAAAGAACGAAAATCTTTTTCTCAAAAAATTCTAAAGGACAAACGAATATAAAAATTCTCAGCTTCGAATCGATTCTTCTGAAATGAATAAAAAGCAGAAATTGAATTTTTTTTCGAAAAAATATGGAAATCTCTATATTCCTTCAAAAACAAATGAATCGATATATTTTTTATCAAAGAGAGATTTAACGAGAAAAAGAATAAAATTTTCAGAATTAGAGAGAGATTAAACGAAAAATCGCGATATGTGATGCGAGCGACCGATATTAGATTTTATTACTTCATACACTTTTACGACTAGAACTTTTACAATTAGAATCTACACGAGTAAAACACGAGTCGAATCGATCTAAGTGAACATAACCTCTCCACGTCCCTATTATTATCTCCTAAGATTTATATCAACGACGAAGAAACTTATTTCGGTATGTAACGAAGAAAAAAATAAAAAAAATAAAAAGGGACTAAATTTAGTGTCGACTCGTGGGGGGGGAGAGGGAACGATGATAAAAAAAATCGAGTATTGATGCGAAGAGTGAGAGGCGGGAAGAGGCGAAAATAAATAATCCAAACAGGACTACGTACGCGTCTTTTATCGTGTTCATACAACGCCCACGAGTTTCCAATGACGTCACTCACCAACACACCGACGAAATAATCCCGGTAATTTGCCACGATTAAACGCGGTGCATCTATATTTTCCAATGGACAATTAAACGGAGGAGAATTCGCAGTTAATTTCGAAACTTTTGCACGGCCGATTTAGTCGAGACGAACGATTTTTCATTGATTCGTGATCGAATTGTCTGTACCGTGGACGCAGTAGTAGACTCAAGATAAAGCAGAGTTCAGAGATTATTGAAGAATTTTCAATGGATTACGGGGAAATTTGTAGAAATTTCCGTCTAAGTGTTTTTTTTTTCTTTTTTCAGAAATAGAGAAAATGGATTTTCGAATGTGAGTTTCAAAGTTAAGCTCACGATTTATTTTCACGATAGAGTTTAATTATAATTGCCACAGTTTAGAAAAATTAGAGACGAGGAAAATTAGTTTTTTTGAGATACATTGGAGCCGTTGGATTATTCGGCGTCTCCTGTGTACTAAGGATATGAGTATATTTTAAAATAAAAGTGTTGAATCTTGCTATTGAGAATTATTTTAGAAGGTACTCGAGAGAATTTTCATTGTTAATGTCAGTATTCATTAACGCATTAGAATAACTTTCGATAGTGATTCTCAAATGTGAAAGAATTTTACACTCAAATATATTTACATTCTGTATTCTTTTTTGAATCTTCTATTTCTATAATTAATTGTTCTCTATTAGATTTCTTTCACTTTTTGTTATTATAATTGATAGATATTATATTTGATTATAAATGAATATTTAAAAAGAAATGAAAATAAGTGATAAAAAAGAAAAAAAACAATTTATATAAAATAATTCAAATATTTTCCTTGAATCTTCATAATTTTTCAAAAATAATGGATCATATATTTATATATAAAATAACGCATTAGAATTCAATTATTTAATTGAAATTTCCACTATTTTTCCAAAATAATATCTCGCAAAATATACTCAATAATGTTTGCGTTTCCATGAAAAATTCTCTCAGTCTTTCTTTTTCTTCTCTAATTTTTCTCTCTAATTTTTCGATAAATCTTTCCGAATTTCTTCGCATTCGAGATTTCTTCTTTCATCGATGATCCTTCTTCTCTTGACCTACGACCAATAAAAAAAAAAAATATATATATATATATATTTATATAATTCGAAATTATAATCCGAAATACCCGGAACGATCAAAAGTTTCGCGGCTAATTTGCCTTTGAGATCTCGAAGCAGAGATGATTTGAAATTCATAAACGATTAATCATAAGCTCGCCAACCTTTTTTCCTTCGCCGCGTGAGTTTGCGAGTTCCCTCGCGTCGCTCGATTTTTCCTTCGCCTACGTATGTTTGCAAGTTCCTTATGCGGATCACGTCCATTGTGTATTCCGGCCGAGCTCGGTATACTTTCAAAATTCTGTTTATAAAAAGCGTGTGAGAAAAAATCCGACAAAGCGTATACACAATTTCTCTTTTTAATCCGATTATTAAAAAAAAAAAAAAAATGACACGCGTAGGTATATTGGGAGGGATACAGAAATTACAACGAAGATCTGACCTTTTGAATTGCTATTGCGACGATCAGTTTTATTCGGTACTTTTCTGTCGAATCAGTTTTTTTTCTCCAAGACTCTTACACCTCGCTATAAAAGAGGAGGAAAGTTTTGAGGTTGGAGAGCTCTCACGTGTGGTCGAACGTGTTCAAGAAACGATCACTTATAGGTTATGCTGTGCAATGCTGACAATGTTTCACTTCTCCATCCAAGTGTCCTTTCAATGTTTTTTCAGTTCACTTCATTGCGAGATGAATCGCTCGTTTTTTTTTGCTCTTTGCCCCATATTCTTCGGGATAATTAAGAATTTTGTATGAATAAATTATATAAATAAGGACTCCCACTCAGAGATCGCATTTCTAATAAATTTCTACTATTTTTTTTAATGATCAAATTTTCATGCAAATTGCATACTTTTCATATTGCACGCATAATATATTTTTTTTTTTTTTGCATATTTTATAAATGTTATAAGTACAAGATGATTCGTTTATATAGATATTTAAAATTTATGGAATTTATAAATATACTTTTGATTGATCATAATTAAACACGAATTGAATTGAATGAAAATCCATTTCGTTTCGATCAAAAAAGTTTTAATTAAGTTAAAATTAACTCTATATATTGTCAATAAGATTTGTAAGTAATATTCTTTCAAAAATAAATATATCTATTATTAATTCTAATTAAATTCTAATTAAAATTAGAAAAACTTTGAACCGCTATAATTCCAAAGATAATGATTTTTGGTCAATGAATATACGATCATTAGAAGGGTGGAATCTTGCCCTTCAAAACGCTCTTTCATTTATTCCGATATAACTTTTGATTCCCGAGATATCGTCGTTTAAAGAAAAGATAATTTTTGATCGTTTATTATTTTTATCTTTATCGCTTACTCGAACCTCTCGCTTGTATTACATCACTGACCTGTTCCAAACTAACAAATGAATTCTTGGAAAAATATAACATGTATTTTCAGGAAGAAATGTAAATCATTGAATTGCGGGATCGATTCGTAATCTTTGTGCTATGTTATATTTAAACGTTGTGGAAACTTTGAGTCATCTTGGAAATCGATTGAGATATCGTATAGATTAAAAAGTGATTTCAATCGTATCGTTTTCTCTATTTTCTTAATGGATTTGAATACATGTATATCGATTAAATATATTATTATATACATGTAATAAATCATCAGATTAACCTCTTATTTAATTGAAAGTATCTATCATCTAGATGCTTGACAAATATTATCACATTATTTTTAAAAGTTTGAAAATTCATCGTTCATCGATGGAATTTATTTCTTACCTTGCCGCAGAAGTAATATTCCGGGGGTTCCTTATCAACTAACGCCAGCACTGCTTCGCTTTCGGCCAAAGGGCTTCCAGGTTGACTATTCCCTATCCTGGATCCTTTCTCCTGGTAATAGGTTTTGTGGAAGACCTTCACCGAGGGTACTGGTAACGCCGTTATCATCTTTAAAAAAAACATACACAACGAATTCGTTATTCTCGTCGTTCGACTCGATATTTAATTAAACTTCCAATAAACCGGATATCGATTTTGCTTTAGAACAACAGTCTACAGAAGGGTAGAAAAGAGAAGAGAAAAGATAGAAACTATAGAAAAGCCAATCGATCAATAATGAATAATTTTCCACGATGCACATGATATCCTATTCCAATCAGCGAATTTTCGCAATTTCAATTTCTTTTCGTGTGAAGTGTGAGTGTCAATTTTTAATAATACACCAAATATTTGAAATCACCAAATATTTTTCCTTCTTATATTAAGAAAAGTTGTTTGTTTGATGCATTTATCTTAATAGCATAATTGGCTTATATTCAAAGTTTACTTCACTAATCCCATTAAAAAAAAATATATCTACATCCTCGCTTCAAAGTCTCCAAACACCTTGAACAAAACTTTATATTTAATATAATCTAAATTACAAATTTTAATTTTATAGATTAATTAATTTAATTTTATAGACATTCTTGTCGTTACATGAAAATATGTCATTATCGTTGTCGTATATGAATATTTTTAATTCATTTGTTAAACCACCTCACATAAAATTACATATTGATTTCACCAGCTGTTTCTCATTCCTCGACTTATCACCTCGAGTCGTCCTCGCACAACTTTCCTCTAACCTTATTTGCACTCGCAACGTCCAGCAACTTATCCGGGAAAAACAAGGGAAACCCTTGTTGAGTAGCCACGGCAAAGAGGATAAAACAGCAATAACGCGACCCTCTTCTACGATCTCAAAGATAGGTTGAGGTAGCCTGTCCTTGGCTTTAATTTTCTCGATCAATCCGCGAGCATCCCTTTTTTCTACCACGTTTACAAAGAGGAGCCGAGCGTGTCGCATTTCCAAAGAGCTTATCGCTCAACACGTGGCAATCGCTATATCCTTTCACATATATAGTAGATTTTATTTTCTTCTTCTGAAGAAATGTATTATTCCGATTCTTTTCACTATTACTATTTCTTATCACGATCGATACTGGCGGTGATGGTGTTGAGAACGTTGATGTTAAATGGAAACTTGTGTCTCCAAGTGCGACTAATGATCGCGTCCTTGGCACGGCTTTCGAAGTTTTTGTATGAAAATTTACGCCTGTTTTTCATCGTGAAAATAGCGTTTGATTGATAGTGAAATTGGATTTGTTTTGATGGTTTATTTAATAAGAATTTAAAAAGGACTCGATAATTTGAAGGTATTATTTATAATTTCTCTCGTGTTAGTATCTTTTCTGAAAAAATAAAAGAAATGTTAATCAAAATGTAGAAAAAAATTTTTTTGTTGCATTTAAAGGACGATATGAATTTCTAATAATAATTTTGGATAGGATCATTGGTGTTACAAAAATAATTCATGAAAAAATAATTTCATAAAACATACATAACTTTGGCTTCGCAATATTTATCAAAGTGCATACGTTTGATAAAAAAATAGTAGTGACCTTTCATATTGATTAATGCAATATAATCAATATAATCAATTTCTGATAGTAATTATTATAAATTTACAACATGATATATAATTCTTTATTTTTTTTTAAATAATATTAATTCTTAAAAAAAATTAAACAATTTAGAAAAAAACAAAAGTTATTCTTAACTTTTGTCCTTATAGACTTTTTTGTATAAAAAAAGTTTACTAATAATTTTAAATTATTTAATAAATTTTTAAATGAATCAATTGATCAATGATTATTTTATTATTTAGTGATCAATAATTTAAAAAATATACAATCTGGTACTTTCCATTGATGATAGGACATTCACTTTTCCAGAAACATGTGTGCTTCTTTGATTAAAACTCTTTAACAAAATTTACCAATTAATAATATTGAAAAATTAATAAAGTACACATTGATTAGATTATATGTAAATTAATCTTATAATTATTCATCAAACAAAATAATAATGAATTTTGATAAAGCATTATTTATTATAATCTTATAAATTGCATTAAAGTTACTTAAATATCATAAAAATTTAGAACAAAAATAATCTAATATATAAATCATATAGAAACCAAATTTAATTATTTTGTTTGAAAAATCACCTATTTTTAAAAAGTACAATTAATCAATTTGATTCTTAAACAATAAAATATCATACACTTTAAAACAATTTAATTAACTTAATCATCGCGAATCAATGTAATCATCAATTATTTGATTCTTGAAAAAATCAAACATTAATCATATTTACATAATAAAATAAATAATTTTTCATAAAATTGGAATTGATCCAAGTTTGATTTCCAAATAGTTCATATATATACAATACAACAATATCACAGTATTTTAATAAACGATAGCTTGTGATGATTGTGGAAGTAGCAATGATATCGATGGTGCTAGTAGTGGTGGTTGGTGGTGGTGGAAATGCTGGTGCCGGTGGCCTAGATACGTTCTTGGGGCCGACGGCCATTGCACCTCGGTTATCGAACAGCAGAGCTTGCACCGGGTGCAGCTGCACGGCTAGAAAACTATCACAGACCCCTTTTTCGTGTCCTTCTCGATATCCTCTTGAAATTAACCGGTCGTGTTGAAATTAGTAACAGGCCAACAGAGACGTTTCCACGAAGAACACCGACAAGTCGTCTTCATCGATGATTTAAATGATCCAGTTTTGTAGCACGGAATCGATATCTCGGTCGGGATATGTTTTTAAGGTCATCGTTGAAGGGATTCGTTTGATCGTGTTTCTCTCGCCAGTTTTTAAAAGCTTTTTGTGCAATGATTTTGAAATATCGAAACATTTTTCTTTTCTTTATTTTTTTTAGGTTAGAATTTTAGTATTTTTCATGAGAAAATTAAGTTTAAAAGCTGACATGATTTAGAGATATAGATTTGTTTTGATTTATAAAAAAAATTTTGTATATTAAAGCTTTGATGTTTTTTACTTGAAAATTAAATAAAAGAAATTGATAATTTGATATTATGAATATTCAATAATAGTATTTTGGCTTTCTTATTAAAAAATTTACTGTATTAAAAAATTGAAACTATGTGATGTGATGTAATGGACTATTTGATTTATTTGATTTCATGATAATTTTTAATCAAAAAACATTAAAATTCTTTTGAAAACCATGATACAATGAAAGAAATTTTTGAAAATGTTTTTTTATTTATGTTATAGGAAGGCAGCATTTGTCGTATTACACTGTTATTCTTATAAAAGAATAATTTTGCACATGTGTTAATGATAAACACAAACTCGCGTGTCCACGGTTACATTCACGAAGGACGAGAGATGAACGACACGCGATCCAATTGGGTTGTTACCATGCATTGCATACTCAGGATATCATATACAGGATCATCACATGCATGATTTCCAAGCAAAACTTAAACAGACGTGAAGAAATCAGACAGAAAACTATAAATATTTTAAGATTTTCCTGTGTTTATTCTTTCGTTTTGACGAAAAGATTTGCCTCTTCCATTTGAAAATATTCATTCTTCAAATTTGTTTTATTTTATCGTTCTATCTTCATTTAATTGAGATAATTTATTATGCTATAATTTATTAGCTTTTATTATGTGTTACCTATATAATTAAATCTTTTCAGAATAAAATTTACTTAGATTTTACTTATACTGTAATAAATATATTATATTACTTACTATATATGTATTACTTATATATTATACAAGTATACTTTTATTTATTTATGATTTATTTCATCAGAAAGAAATATATTTTTCATTTAATTAATAATTAATCAAATTAGCATGATTAGGTTAAGTTCCAAATAAAATCTTCCTTCGAAGTAACAACTAATTCTTAATATCTTTCAATTATTAAGCTAACCTTATTCTTTCTCTCAATAACTGTATCTACAATCACAATTAAAAAAAAAACCATAAATAAAAATATTACGATTAAAAAAAAACCGAAATAAATTCAAAAGTTCAAAGAACTTTGATCATCACAAAGTTCAAAGCTGCCCTCTTCAGGATCATTCTATTCAATTCTTGTTTTTGATAGGCTATGTGTCGCTAAACGAAATTCCAAGGATACCGATTGGTCAAGTCTATTGCACTCAGTCACCCTGATTTATACACGATTCGGTTCTTTTCTTCGCAGAACTTCAACCTCTTTCGTTTCCAGCCAGGAATTGTACGAGTTTCGCAACCGAGTCAGTATTACGTGCACGAAGAACGAACGGGTAACCTTTATCGGTCGGAAAGGCGTAAAGTGGGACAGTGGCCTGATTCCCGGTGTCATGGCTGCGGCTGCACCGGCCAGAAGAGTGGAACGGCTATAGACGCGCCGAATGTGCAACCAGTACTCCACTCTGTCTTGGATTTTTGCCAAAAGCTCGCGGATATTTTCTTTTTTCTCGACGAAAGAAGAGTAGGAAAAAGGGAAGAAGGGAATATACATAGGAATTAATATGGGCGCGTTATGCGAGTGGACTCGTCTGCCGTGGTTCGTTCCAATTTTTTCGATTCGTTTGAGAGAAACGTAATGGTCAAAAGAGAATGATTTTTCTCGTTAGTATTAAATTTTGATTCGAGGTAAATGATTTACTTAAAAGAATTTAATGACATATCGAGAATTTTTGAATAATTCGAAGGTATTCTTTTAATTTTCTTTTGCATTAAAATTTATAAAAAATATTTTTCTAGGTTTATTATTTATTTTCTAGATAAATTGATCTAAATAAATTGTTAAAAAATAGAAGAGATATTAATCAAAATATAAAGGAAATTTTTTATTGAATATAGTTTCAACTTGAGCCATTAAAAAATGATTAGACACTTTTTATATTTGTCTTGTTTTATTACATTTTGTTACATTTGGTACTTGTATATTAACATACAATTTTAAAAGAAAAATTATTTTTGAAATGGTAGCATAAATGTTTCAAGTATATCGAGTTGTCAATCTAATCTAACCTAACCTAATTTAACTAATTTTTCTAGGTTTATATAATAATATTTTAAAGTGTTTAAAGAAAAATAGAAATAAAGAAAAGATTCATGTCCAGATGGAGATATACATATTTAATATTTGATATATATTCACAAGATCCAGTCTCTGGCCATAAAATGTAAATAATTGGAGGACGATCGATAATCTATTTCATGCATGACAAAATAATCGATTTGTAAAATTGGATTAACGGGACACGCCACGACGAATTTCGAGTAAAAATTAGTAAACAGATTGTTGACCGCGATAAACGGCCTTTGCACGTCCACGCCATGCAATTCAATTTGGTTTTCTAAAAAATATAGTATAAAATATATACAAATTCTATCACTTATCACAACATATGAATCTAATTTAAAAAATTATAAAGTTAAATATTCAAAAAAATTTTACATTTACACTTATTTCATAATAAATTAATCAAAATTATTTTATTAATATTTCAGTGTGTTCCATTGTATATTTTTTTCACATTTTTGCATATTTTTTTAAAAAATATTGATTAAAATTCATTTGAAAAAAATGAATTTTTCCATATTCTAATTTTAATTACAATTACTGATTCAAATAAAATAATTTTTAGGGAAAACCTGAATCGAGATGGCTGAAACTCAAATGACAAAAAGAAGGTCAATGACTAGCGAGTTTTTTTGCCAGAATCAAGGCGGTCTAATTGAACGAATCGTGGAAGGTGTGTAGTCCTAACGATAAAAGAAAATAACTTGGGAAGTATTTATGCAAATACGCGCCTTTGCATGGTGCATGCAAATCAACTTTATCGAAGGTGGCACGACACGAAGGTAGTTCACCCTTTCGCGGAAGGTACCAATCTATAGGGGTGTTCCGTGCATTGCGTGAAAATAAGCGTTCCATAACGACCACCACCTGGTCTCACTCTCTCTAGAAACGAATCTAAAATCTCAACTAAATTTATTCCGACATCTCCAACCCTAATTAATCATTTAGATATACTCTCGACAATGATCTTTTTTCTATTTTTTTTTTCATCGTAAATCAATGGTTCTTGGCTAATTCCCTAAACAAATTGCTCTTATATTTTACAATTAATCATATACATAATTTGTCAATTATTTTTAAAAGTATTTCTTCTAATTTTTAATTTTTCACAAATATTCTGATGCATAAATCTTCCTTATTGCACATTCATATATATTCTAGACTATATAATTTACTTTAACAAAATTAATTTTTTGTAATTAACCAAGGCAACTTCTCTAATCTTCAATTTCTATATTTCTTTACATACAATTTCCATTTTCTGAAACATATTATCATTATCCTTCTCCAAAAATTGTACCAATTAATCAAACCATCGTCCAATTATTTTTTTTCTCTTCCAAAATTGACACAGATTCTCTTCCATATTTTTCACACATTCTATCCATTCTTTCTATCAATAAACCCTCTCAATCTCAATTCATTTCTCTCTTTCTCTCCCGATTTTCTTCTCAAACCATAAATTTTCCATATTGTTTCTAGAGACGTCTCTTCCCTCGATTGGCCGCGTTTGGCGGGAGCGAAAACGCGATTACCTTAAAGCCCCTCCTCCCACGAGGCCCTTCCTCGCGGCGTGTCGCCCCGCGAGAAATGGAATCGAATATCCGGCTTGATTCTCACCGAGACCTAATTATCGATCGGTGGAAAGGCCGGGATCCTCAACAAGCACAACATTGATTTACGGATGTGTCGTATCCCCGTGCAAAGGGATTCCTCGTACATTGACTCACGGGCTGGCAGCCGTGCTAAATGCAGTTGCAACTCTGCCCCTGGCTCTGTTCCAGCTCTGTACAACTGTATTCCGCCTCGATGGATTCGGTAATCGAGGTCAGTGTACCCCTTCATCTCGCCACTATCTATTTGCAGAGTGATTTAAATGCGCGACCCCTTAGCCGAACTTTGGCCCCAACGACCGGAAACAATGTTCGATCATACTCGAATCTTTCCGATGGAAGAACACTTTTTCCCTTTAATTTTCGATTATTTAATTCGAGGAATGGAGGGAAGAGGCGAATGGAGAAAAGGTAGGATGGATTTTGCGCGCGAAGAAATAGAGGAACGTTTGTGAGTAGAGGTAAGAAAATTGTATCTTATATGAGAGAGAGTGCCCACTCGACAATGCTCCATTCCTTTCAAATTTTTCAGGTAGAAAGAAGACTTTTTATCAATTTTCGATTTGAGGAAAGCAGGGAGAAGAGGAAAGAAGAGAGAAGATAAAGGAAGAGATAGGATAGAGAAATGTATTGAGGGAGTAAAAAAAATTGTGCCTCGCATAAAAGAATGTTATATTAATATGTAATAATAATAATCTTTATAAATATGTAATATATAATAATCTTTCAGGTTAGAAGATTTTTTTTTTCGATTCGAAGAAATGGAGGAATACAAAGGATAGATTCTGTGCGTTCTATTCTTTAAAAAAAATTGGTCGGTTAAATGAAATTTGAACGAATAAAGGCGAATAATTGGATTCGTGGCAAGAAGGAAGTGAAGGAACTATTGAATGAAGATGCACGAGGCGCGCAAGGATGGACGTGATGAAAACAATCGTGGAAATAGTTCATTTCAATCTGGAGAATCGATAAATGGGTCACCGCAGGTCGTCGGGCAATATCTCACGTATCCACGACTCGAGTATCAACTGGGTCATTCGACTGTAGCGAGAACGATGGACGACAAAAGTGACAAACTATCGAAGAAATCCCGTCTACCATTATCTTATATCGCTTCCAAGACCTAGCACAACAATCTTTACTATCAAATGTTATTTACCCGACACCTACGCCAAGAGGAAAATATTGACAAACGAGCCAACCTAATTGAACTATCCTCCATTAACAACACAACGTATATCTCAATCCACCCACCATTCTCCGAGAAAATGTCGCGGAAATCACAAGACGCTGCCTGTATTTACACTATGGATATTCATCACTATCCATTATCCTCGATAATTGAATCACTTCCGATTAAAACTTGCCAATTATCTTATAAATGTAATTATATATTCCTCTTCAAGAAATTCTCTTCACTGTCAGAAATAACCTGAACCAAATGTTGAACAGAAAAAGTGAAAGATTTAGTGGATTGCTTTCAACGAAAAAACTTAAGTCTATTCGCGAGAAGGATAATCAAACCACTTTCAATTATCAATCGCAAAATTCAATTATCCAAGAAATTCCAATCACCGTCAAAATAACTTAAACCAAATATCGAGACGAAAAAAGCAAAACAAAAAGATTGTTAAAGATTTGCTCTGAAGACTGCGTTCGACAAATTTCCGGAAAATTTTAAAGAAATTTTTATTCGTGAAGAATAATTGAACCACTCCCGATCAAATCAATTATTCCTTCAGAAAGCCATCATCAAAATAAGCCGAAACGAAACAAAAAAAAAAAAAAAGGAAACAAAGATGCGGAACACTTACTTTGATTATTGCGTTCGACGAAAGCTTCCGTTGAAGAAACGTCGATTCGCGAGAAGGATAAAACCGGTGACAAGTGAGAAGGCTCGTTCTCACGATGAACGGTACATCGGTGTGATATAACGATGGAACAAGAGGTGTAAGTAAGCACTGTTCGTTTATGTCTCGGTTGAACGAGGAGATCGCTTCGACGGGGTGGTGGTCCCGCGAATACTGAGCTTCTGGAGCCTAGAGCATCCTGGTCGATAAGCCATCCCCCTCTGGCCACCCACTCGCGCTAAAGGTACGATCACACCTGCGCTGGCCACCTCACGTGGGCTCGCGTGCATTCACACTAAACTTCGAACGCACCTTTAACCTTTCTTTGATTCACTGATATATGTATATTTCGTAGTATAGTGCTTTTCAATTTTACTATATGCAATTCTCTTCGATTTTTTTTAATAAATGTGTTATAATGAATTAGAGTTGGGAAGTTTTGGACTCGACAGATTTGAATGGAAAATTTTAAGGATTTAAATTAGGATTTAATTCAGAGTGTATTGTTTCGTGAAGAATCAAAGATTTGAGAAATTTCGATTTTTGAAATTGCATTTAAGTATAATGATCATTTATTATGTGAAATTTTATCAATTAAAATAATCTTGAATACAAATTGTAAGATATATAAATTTTATTAAAAATTTTCATGTAAAAATGATTATAATGATGTTTCAAAAACTACCTTGTTAGGAATACATAATAGATATGTATTGCCTATTTGCATTTCGTATTTCTAGTTCGTACCACATATATATGTGAAATTCTATCAATTAAAATAAGTTAATGCAAATCTTAAGCACAATTGTAAGATACATAAATTTTAGTAAAAATTTTCATGAAAATGATTATAATAACGAAAATTATCTTGCGAACTTCTTGCGAAGCTGAATGATACATAGATTGAGAACACACAATAGATATGTATAGATGTGTTTATTATATGCGTGCGTGTACAGTTCGAAACAAGATTTCAACCCTTTAGATTACTTCGTTCCACGAGGCTATTCTTTCTATTTGCTGTGCTATTTGCTCATGTCTATTTGAACTTCGATTTCCTCTGTCGTCCTCGTTTGTTTGCCTCCCTCTATTTGTCCGTTATTTATCATGCGCCGACTATTGAACCTAGATGCAATGCTCGTTATTACCTGCGTTTCGTCGAGATCCACGATGCAACAAGTATGCATACGTTTGTATAATTCAAGTCTGTTAGGCTTCATATGCTCGGCTATAGCTCATGATATTTAGAAATACAGTGAACGGAAGGAAATATAAACACGCTATTTATATATTCACATTGATGAACCAAAATATTTCTCTGAAATGTATGATTTTTTTGTTTTCCATTGTTGAAATATAATTTTAAAGTTTAAATTTTGAATACAGTTACTTAATCGTATGCAAATTTTTCTTTATATTTTTTATTCTTATCTGGCAAACTTTTTTTTTGCAAATATGTAGTGGTGAACCAAAATATTCGTAGATCTCTAAGATTTTCTCGTTGAAATATAATTTTAAAGGTTAAATTTTGAATACACTTATTAATTATATGTAAATTTTTCTTTATATTTTTTTATTTTATATGCAAACTTTTTTTTTCCAAGTATGCTTATTGCATTGATATTATTGGACCATTATTTTCCTGTATTTTAATCTGTTTCTTTTTTCAATAAGTGTACATAACAATTTGTTATTGTTTTCACGTATGCATAATGAAGATAAATATTAGAGAATTCACGAAAAACTAATAATAAATATTGACACGCCTACTAATTTTGCATTTTGATTAATATATTCTTTCAAATTTTGAGGTTAAATAGGCATGAAGATAATTAAAAGATTAAAGTTTAACAGATATTAATACAGCTTCCAACATGTATAAAATTATTATCTGCATCAATATTTAATTGTCTTAAAACGTTTATCGACTTCGATAAATGATATTAAAATTCGTGAATTGAATAAAAAATCATTTTAAGCAATTAATCGTTACATCAAAACGATATAAAGCGAAACAATAAATAATGCAATTGAAGATATAGCAGGTAACAATAGGAAAAATAAGAAAATAAATTATAAATTCGAATTCTTCGATTTGTCTTGTAATATTATCATCTTGTTGTTACATATCGTAATTTATTCACTGTGCAATTATTTTTTTTTTTTGTTTAACACACCTTTAACCTTTAATCTCACCCACTGACATTTTTACAATGCAAGGCGAACCATTTGATGTTTCCAAGCAATGCGTGTTCTCTTTTTTTTTTTCATATATTCGAATATCATTTCAAGACTATGAGAAAAATCGTTGATATTTGTTGACTATGAGAAATATCGTTGATAACTGTCTGACAAATTATATTTTACTCCACTTTACTTCGCTCGTAATTTTTCTAACCAACTTCGAATCATTAAAGTTTAAAAAAGACGATTTAAAGAAAAATGCTTTAACGCTGTTTTATATATATTATAATTTTGGATGAAAAAAAAAATCAGAATTTTGATTACATATCTTCACAGATGTTATATTCAAAATTGATTGCATCTACTTCATTGTTTGCAATACGGTATTTTGCAATTGCAAAACAAATATTATACACAGTTTAGACACATCGATCTATATGTGCGTACACTCACACGATATTTTTGTTAGTTTTTTTTTATTGCCAAATATTGAAATTTATTTAAATATGTTAATTATAACTATAACATAATGAAAATATTCGAGATTTCTTATCCTTTGAATTTCCTCGAAATTTCAATTCAACGATCACTTAATAAATCATACGAAAATGATCAATATCATTCGAATAATCGATAAATTTGTATTTAAACATCTAAATGCTAAGAAAACATTATTAGAAAAATTATTTAGAAATATCTCAAGACTTCTGATCTGAAAAGTATACATATTACAATTTCTACATTTCATTTTATGGCAAATGGCAAAGGTGTGATTACAAGAAGAAAAAGTTTGATCAAGAGTGTAATTTTTATGCAATGATCACAAATGGAAAGTCACGTTGACCGGTTTCCATGAACATCGAATGTAAGACGCAGATTTCACATTGTCCGTACTGTTCAGAGTGATTATTTTTAGATCGTTTCAACGTAGTATAGGTGTTGCGCTATCGATAAAATATCGATGAGACCTTCTCCACAAGGTTGCCGGTCTCCATTCGAGCTTAACACGATGCAATAATTAATTTCGTAATTAACCTTGCACTAAGTAACCAATAATAACATTCTAATCTAATGAAGATTCAGTTAATCGACCTCAACACTGGTCCTCGGTTTACAAAACATACGAAAATTTTGAATTTTTGGAAAAATTTTGGAATGATTCCTTTTAACCAATTGATTTTTACTTTTATTCTTCATTTTTCGCGATCATTGGTAACGAGTGGTTCATTAGGTTAGTTTGGCGGCAGAGGGAGTATATAAGTATATATATAAGTATATATATCGAATGCGTCTTAAGAACATATCGATATATCTTTTCACCAAGTACATGCTTTGTAATCGAACAACTTCGGACAGTTTTCAAGAACCTTCGTCTTCGGTTAACAGCTATTTTTAAGCATCAAAGCTTAACTAATTGCAATGTATCGAGCAAAATATATATTTTTCTATATCAAATGTTCTTGTTAAATGGACGATGATTTTTATTGAAAAATGATCCATCGATATTTGATTAACAATATTTAATAAACAATTTGTCTCAATTCGAATATTAATTAAATTAGGGAGGAATGGAATATTTTTGTTCGATCAATGCATTTTTTAACAAAGTAATAATAATTTTATAAGCAGTTTATTTATTTTTGTGACTTTTTTAAAGCTTTTTTAATGATATTTTTTTCTCAATTGCAAATGTTTCTTCGAAAAATTAACTTTGTTGTGTTTATTTACATTGAAAATTAAAAGAATGTTTGGATTTGAATGCGTTGTAATATTCATGTGCATAATACGAAGAAATTGTCTAATTAGCCTTGAATCGATAAAGTGGTGGAATATTCTCCATTCTCAGAAATTGATCATTGACTTGTGTTGAAATGAAGAATTATTCCTTGGAAATATGGATAACCAGACACTTAACAAGAGTATGACGTCGTCGCTCTTCTGAGAATGATAAGATAATTCTTGCATTCTGATTAATGATTTCATTCCATTCAAACTTAAAATTTGAAAACTTTTTTAGGAGAATATTTTTTTTCAACGAATAAAACGATTTTTATTTGTAAAGTGAAATTTTAATTATCTATTGAACAATTATTAAACAAATTTTTCATATATTCTTTCTTGCTATAATCTTTGCTATAATCTTGTGTTTTCTTAATACTATGAAATAATTTAATAGTTTTTGATAATTTCAATTTTTAAAAATAATATTAACTAATGTAATTTTCCTTTCAAAGATTTTGCCATTTAAAAAATTTTTAAAAACTAAAAAAATAACAAGTGATTATATAATGAATAACGTTGCTTTTATTGTGCATAATCGAAAATATTAATCATTTGTTTATTGAGCTTGCGCGTCATCCAGTTAATAAGTAAATTGCATCTGTGCAAATTTGATTTAATTTTAAAAATTTCTAGTAAGTAACTTCTTAGAAGTATTATTTATGAAATGATTTAATATATTTTAACTTGATTTCTGTCTTTTAAGACATATTCTATTTCAGGAAAATTTTATTATCCTAATTTGCATGGTGTATTGATAGAGACTCCGTTTCCATCCACTGACGTAAACGAAAATGAAATGCGTTGGTGGACAATTGTGAACGCTTGCTTGAGTATACTCGTGAAATCAGCACAAACAAGAATCAAGATTCTTTTAAATAGTCCAAGTATCTTATTCCTTAATTATTATTATTCCAAAAGAGTTAATTATTTTTCCAAAAGAACGATGTAAGTTCAAAACAAATTGTTTGCTTTTTTTCTTTTTTTTTTAAGGAAAAATAATATTTTGTTTTGTAGATGATGTAGATGAAAATAATAATTTTAATTACTGTTTTTTTCTTTGGATATGAAAATAATTTTGTCTAAATTATTTTGTCTAAATTTCTAAAAAAAAAAAAAATTTTAGAAAAATTTGTTTCTCATAATCAATCTTTCGTGTGGATTTAGAATTAAACTTATTCAAAATTTTATTGAATTTTACCTTTAATTATTATTATTTTTATTTTCAATAAAAACATCGAACGTTTTCAATGATTTTGTCAAAGATATTCGAAATACAAAAAATGTGAACGCATAACAATTTTTCTTGATTTAATTGTTTTGATTGATCTTTCAGAATAATAATAAATTTTATCATTAATGTAAAACTCTTTTTTGATTTATTTTTTAATTTATTTGTGGATATGTAGTTTCGACCTATTTTCAAATATTTCTGAATATTTTATTTTCATTGGATAATTTTCTTGCATATTGAAATAAATTGAAATTAAAAAAATATTGTTAATTGAAATAGCAAATGTAATTGAGATGAAAATAATATCAAAATTTTTTTCATTTAAATTGTAATCATCATAACAAGAAAAAAAAATATAATAGTTTTCATTGTGAAAAAAAGGTAGTCAAAGTATATTTTTCAATATATTTTTTTATTTCACAGAAAGGTTATTGTAATTGAAATTCATTCTCTGTTAGTGAAAACGTTTTATTAAACTCTGAAAGTTACAATAGCAGTAGAGTTTTTCTTTTCTGTTACTCGCGATTTTTTTTTCACTAAAGAGTCACATACAAGATTATACAGTACTTGAGGCCGTTCATGTGTAATAATCATGATAAATTTCGTCGTAATTCCGTGTTTATGTTTTCGTTTAAGTTAAGAAATAATTCAGTCTTTCAAAAAATTATTATCACGTATCAGAGAAACAATTCAAGCTAAAATATCACTATCAAATAATCCCAATAAGTTATAAAAAATAAAGTATAATAATTAAAATAAATAGTTTTTCTTTATCAATTCTTTTTTAAATAAAAAATAACGCGAAATAACGCGGACAAAATTGAAATTCTTTTAAATTTATGTAATTCCTTCCGCAATAGCATTTATTTAATCTCGTTTTGTGAACATTGATACACAAGCAATAATACGAGCAAAGCTAAAGGCTACTTGAATTAAAGGATAGATTAAGATTCTAAAATATATCTCATTTACGAGTAAAATTCTTATAAATTGCTTTTAAAAATATTTCTCGTAAGGAAACAAGTTGCGTCGTAAGCGACCAATAATAAAAGATGAGAGTCTCAAATAGATTCATGCTTTTACGTTCTATTCGACTTATTATATTGCCTCTTGTCTGCGATTGCTCGATGTTACCCGAAACTATCCGTAAATACCCGAACTTTAGCCGAAGTTGCCCGTAATTATTCGAATTTTGCTCGATATTGTCTGTGTTATTTGAATTTTGATCACTGTCCAAAATTATTCGACGTTATTCGATTTTCTAATTTTATTATTCGATACAATATCTACAGAAAATTCTTATCAAAAACAATTGCCGAAGAAGATTAATCTTTTCATTTTATATGTAAAATTCTGTCCAATTTTTTAAACACAACAACAGGATAAAATTATGAAAAATCTATATTATCATTAAAAGTTTATTGCGTCCATATTATATCACGTAAAATCGTGTAATCAGAGCGGAATCAAAGGTCTTGATGATGGTTTCCGAGTATTG